GGGTCAAAACCTTGCTTGCTTTTTTCTCTTAATATGTAACAAGTAACAGATTTCTGATTCTCACCCCCACCCCACTGGACTGTAAGGTCCTCAAAGCAGGGTCCCATTACATCCCCAATGTCAAAGACTTACTCAGGGAGTCTATACCACGTTCTCAGTCTCAGGGGATGCAACAGTAAACATACACATGCAGCCATCAAGTCTCCACCTGTGAATTTTCCCACCTAAGATCAGGTCTGTGTGATTGCCCAAAGTTTCTTACAAAGTTGACTGATGTGGCATGAAGTACATCAAATCAGTAACGAATTCAGAACACCCGGTGTTGTTTGCCCAAATACAAGAACTGGAATCACTGCATCTTTGAGTAACGGAAGGGACCAACAAGGTCACTACGTCACTGGTGTTCAATCCTAGACAATCATTAGAGCTTTCCGAATTACAGATTCCTAGACCCCGTGTATAGACATTTAGTTGAATAATCTGACATAAGGCCCAGACATGTGTTAGGGGTTTTTGTTTGTTTTAAAGATTTTATTTATTTATTAGAGAGAGAGACGGAGCACAAGCAGGGGGAGTGGCAGAGGGAGAGGGAGAAGCAGGCTCCCTGCTGAACAATCCCAGGCCCCTGGAACCACGACCTGAGCGGAAGGCAGACATTTAGCTGACTGAGCCACCCAGGTGTCCCAACATGTGTTGTTAAAAAGGTCTCAAAGCAATGCTGATGATCACAAGAACTGGAGATGCCCTGCATCTAACAGAACCCCTCCATGCATGGCCTGAATTTCTTATGCTGAGCTCCACTGAGCATTTGTGATGATGTTAATGGACCAAAAAGTGAACACAGAGGTACTACCTCCAGGGGACCACATGAATCCATTAGCTGTTGTTAGCATAACAAACCATTCCAAAACTCAGTATCTTCAAACAGTAGGCACTCATTATTGCTCCTGAGTCCTTGGATCACTTTGTGTGATCTCTGCTGGGCCCATTCATGCATCAGGTCCACTGGCTGGTCAAGGATAGCCTCAGTCACATATCTGGTGGGGAGACAAAGGTCTCTGGGCCCCAGCAACAGAGTGCAGGCATGTCCATAGGGTGACCGGGCTAGATTCTAGGTGAGCAAGTAGACACGTGTGAGGCCACTTAAGACCTACACTGGGGACTGGTACATATGCATACTGTCACTCCAGCATATTCTGTTGGCCAAAGCTACAAGGCCTAGTCCAGATTCAGGGGCTGGGTAAACAGACTCTACCTCTTGATAAAGGGAGCTACAAAGTCCTTCTCACAACATACTCGTTTCAAAGTCTATTCTCCAAAGGGAGAAAAGGTTGCCTTAACCCAAATACGATTTCTAAGCATGGGCCAAAGCTTTCCTCTAATCGCAAAAAGTTAGACAATCCTGAAGATAAGGTTTCATCTGACATTCCTCGTTTCTATTCCCGCCTGCATACACCTACCTTACTTATTCCTCAAGACCTCAGTTTCAAAAGAAAGCCAAGGAAATCTATTTCTTCTCGGCACTATTTCATATCATCCTCTGAGGTTTTTAAAGATGATGTGGAAGGCATGGCATCCTTACAAGGACTTGTTCAGGGTGAGTGTCTCTGCGATGCCTCTTCTTGGCGTAGGATGTGAGGCGTAGGATGTGCCCACAGATAAATGTGACCAAATGATCCGCAGGGCTACATCCTGCAAAGGCCTCCACAGCCTTCTCACGAGGAGCACTTTAGTGTAAGAACTATTACAGGAAAAAGATAACACACTAGGCCGGTAAAGAGCTCCGAGGAGCAGGAAACGGGCGCTTACTGAAGATTATAGGCTAAGACTAATTATATTCCAGCTGCTTCACTCACCCGTGCCTGACTGTGCCACTTAGGAACTGCACTTAAAGGACACTGGCTGAGTCCATAACTGCGTTCCTGACCCACGCCCCGAGACATACGTAGCCTGGCTGGGATGCTGCTGGAGGTATTACAGCATCCCTACAGCTAAGGGGTTGCTTTCTGGTTTTTTAGAAAAATTACTATGACCTTTGGGTTAGTTCTACTTAAATTCTCTAAACACCTACTTATGAGGTTCGGGATAGCGAGGGGTGGTAGGGAAAGTAATTCCAGCAACCAGGAAACACAGGATGGCAAAGAAGTGGCCAGGGCTGGGTAGTGCCTGGAGGCTCCTTAGGAGGGACATGGAGGATAGAAGGAGAAAGCATGTGCTGCTCACAGACAAGGTTCTCTTAAGTGCCTATTTGGTTCCCATTTCTATGGCCAGCTTTCACTCTGCTTGGTATCACGGTCTGAAAGACTAAGCAAGAGGAGTGGGTGACATACAGTGAAATCGAAAGAAATGCTAAATTCACCATAAAGATGCCTCAGAAAAGCCAAATTCAAGAAGATACTACATTTAATTTAGTTTGCGAAAAAACTGTACAAAGTTCTGAAAATGCGTGAAACAGGCCATCGCTAGGAGGAAACACCACCCACTCACCTCTAAATGGTCTTTCATTCCAAGAACTGAGCCCTGGATCCGGGAGACAAGCAGGTGTGGCAGCACTAGCGATGGTTTGGTTTGGTTGGTTTTGTTTTGCTTTGTTTTGTTTTTTAAGATTTATTTGAGAGAGAGAGAGCGTGAGCACACAGGTGGCAGAGGCAGAGGGAAAATCTCTAGCAGACTCCCCACTGGGTGTGGAGCCCAACACAGGATTTGATCTCACGACCCTCAGCCGAAATAAAAACTCAGACACTTAACTGACTGTGCCGCTCAGGCACCCCACGGGACAGCGATGTGTTCTACTGAACATGTAGTAACCAAACTGCAAATGCTCCCAAAGGCTAGAACTGCTGCTGGTGCTGGTCACTCCATGGGCGCCTCGGAGTGGCATCCGTTTGTTTTTCAATCAAAACTGAAAAGACTCACAAAATACAAACCGGCATCTCCAGGTGAAATCACCAGAAGGGTTCCCACACCCATCTTCTGCTCACTCGGCAAAAAAGTAAGTGGCATTTTGGATGGTCTTTTAATGAGCTGGCGGATTAGGCTGCAGCCAGACTATTCTTTTGATTAATTAGCTAAGGGGAAACCAAAGCAATAAGAAAGTGAACTATTAGTATTATCACCACAGGAACACTGACAGTGACAATGACGAGGAATTACTGATTTCTTTTTTTTTTTTTAAAGATTTTATTTATTTGACAGACAGATCACAAGTAGGCAGAGAGGCAGGCAGAGAGAGAGGAGGAAGCAGGCTCCCCACTGAGCAGAGAGCCCGATGCGGGGCTCGATCCCAGGACTCTGGGATCATGACCTGAGCCGAAGGCAGAGGCTTTAACCCACTGAGCCACCCAGGCGCCCCTAATTACCGATTTCTTTTCAGAAAAAGACAACGTCAGAAGAGGGAACTAAGAAGGGGATCTTCACCCCGCTCGCGCTCCTCCCCACTTGAACACACATACACACACACCCCCCACAACTTCATACCCTTCTTTGCACACTACTTTTTAGTAGTGCTTTTTAATGCTGTTCTAAAAACCTAGCTATGTGAGGTACAGGCTGCTCTTCCTGGAGAATCCTTTTTTTTTTTTTTTTTTAGAATTTATTTTTCATTTTAGAGAGAGACAGAGACAGAGAGACAGAGCACAAGCAAGGGGAGAGGAAGTGGAAGAGGGGGAGGCAGGCTCCCCGCTGAGCTGGGAGCCCGATGTGGGGCTCTATCACAGGACTCCGAGACCATGACCTGAGCTGAAGATAGATACTTAACCATCTGAGCCACCCAGGCGCCCCTTCCTAGAGCATCCTTACATTGCCTGCACAGCAGTGCCAAGGACGAACCCGTGGCTGCATTTGCAGGGACATCCGGGCACAAAGCAAACTTTCACATGTGTCAGGGGAGTGCCTCGGCTTTGGGCAATTTCTATTCCAGTTTCTGCACCATTCTCCTATGAAACCCCTTAGCTCAGCATCTCCACTCTAATGTAACCACAGTGTAAGTCCTCGTGGCTGTTCAAGGAATGGGGCCATCTCAAACATACTGTAATAGTGGAGTATCAAATTCACATTACACATAGCTTTATCTTTCCTACAACCTTTTTCCCGAAGTTTCCCCAAGTATTAAAGTTTGGGCTATGCCAGGAACCAGAGAGGCAGCTTCATTCCCCCACGTTCAGTGCAATCAACTTCTTGTGTTTAGAATAAATATTTGAAACTCAGAAGCCTGTTAACAATGTAGCACTTGATTACTCTGAATTACTCTCACCCACAGCATTGAGGGAGAAGTCCTTGGCACCAGCCCCACACAGAAAACCTGCTTCCCAGCCTGCTCCATTTGCTTTCCAACGCTTCCCTCAAACTCTCAACACACTACACAAAGGTCTCAGTTTTCTCCCTTAAATACCCCACGAATCCCACATCCAACATCTGACTTCCTTCTTCCCAGAGCACACAGATTTACTTCAATACTTCCAGTTCAGATATATTTAATTAGACCGGCTTGTCTTGTTATCTCTTAGTCAAACCCCTCTGCTAGCATCTTTCGTTCAACACTGAAATCTCTTTGAAAGGGTTTTCTGTTTGCTTGTTTTGAGACAAAACATCATCTTGGTCTATTTTAAAGCTAGAGTAAAAGCTACTTTTCAATTAGAGGTGCCTATGTATTAAAATGGCCACAATCAGTAGCGCTTTTCCTCCTTCAAAACCTATCAGGTAAATAAAGTCTTTTTTTTTTTTTTTTTTTAAAGAGGGCCAAAAGGGTAAACTGTACTAACCAGAAGTAATTAGTATGTTAAGTTTTGTTTCAAGGCCACACTATCAGGTTACAAGTTCTGATAAACCCTGATGGGGGAAGACATGTCTTTGTCTTGGGACCACTGAGAACTAACCAATCAACCAAACAAAACACCTTTAATTCCATCAGAAACTCTCCCATCTAAACACAGCTGAAACAGAAAAGCCAACACCAAAGCAGAGCAAATGAATGAAGTGTTCCTGCTGCTGGCAGCCCTTACCATTGGGAACAGAGTCCCCTTCCGGTCCCTCGCAGGGGCTCTGGCTCCTCCTGGGGTGGGGTAGGGGTGGCGAGGGGTCCAGGCCCTGGGTGCAGGTAGAGGTATGCTCCGTGCATGCTTGAACAGGACTCACAGCCGTCTGCCTGCCTGTCTGCCACTCCGTCCTCTCGTCTGGGTGGGAAGGGCCAAGATTAAAAAAAAAAAAAAAAATGTGCAGGTTACTCACTGGCCTTCCCCGGCGGGCACACCCAGGAGGAGGGAGAGGCCCAGCACAGACAGGGAGATTCTTCAGTGGCTGTGCCTGAGATCTTGCTTCTGATTCCTTTTGTTAATACTTCCTGAACTTTAAACTCAGTCTGCACAGGCTCGGGTATTTTGGGGGAGGCAAACAACACTTGGGTAATTAGATTCCAAGAGCTTTGTGCAAAGGTTACTTTGAAAAGGCAATGTTGTAGTGCACATATTTTTAAATTTAACTCTGAAATTTGTTTCCACCGTGTGTGAGCATTAACTTTAGCACAGGAAATGAGAGCAAGGGGCAACCTTGGTGCAGGGCCTGGAAAGGCCTGGAGCAAGGCAAACCTGAATGTGGTTCAGACAATGAATATATCTTTTAGGCTCTAACTTTTAGAGAAATAGGATTCTCAACAGTCTCTCAGAGTTGGTGAACCTTTCCTTGTATAAAAGACACGATCTTGAAATACGTGCCCAGAGATCAAGGTTTTGGAAATGGATTCCCATTGAAGATGCAAGAATGTGGTACCTGATAGCCTGGCCTCTGTAAATCCTGATGGGAAGCCTTTCGTCAGTGGAGGGAGCCTCAGCAATTTGTCCGTATTTCAGTAGAAAGAGGTGGAGAGATGGAGCCAAGGGTGAGGAGTGCCGACCTCGGACCAGGTACTTCTCTCATTTAATCCTGAAATGCCTTTAGGAGGGAGGTATCCTTCTTCCTCTCTCACAGGTTAGGTAACTTGGGCAGGGCTTGGCCAGGTAGGGAATGGAAGACCCAGAATTTGGACCCAGGTTTGCCTGAACCTAAGACCCAGTCTCCTCACACCACACCACCAGCTATGACACCCACACTTCCTGAAGAACATCACCTTTTTTCCACTTGGAATTGACCTAAGGCTAGGTTACCTTTTCTGAAGTTTTTATACCAGTTCCAAAATGGATATGCCATGAAATATAATTCTGCAGGATGTTAATAGGTATAACAAAGGCTAAGAAGAATATTCTATACAGGTTTCTTCATGGTGGCTTCTCACAGTCTTTAATTTACTAACATATATTGTGAATCTCCCAGCTCAGGACCTAGTGTGCTGGGTTTCCTTTCCCAAAGCCTTTTGGAGTGGGGGAAGGGGATCTTTGGGTTTGGGAAATATTGTTCTAGAGATTGGTTATTGTGGTACTTTTCTCTCCCTCTGCTACAATTTGAATTTATGAGTCCTTCCAAAACTCACACGTGGAATCCTAATGCCCAGGGCAGTGTTAGGAGGTGGGGCCTATGATTACCTAACTGGGACGGAACCCTCATGAAGGGGATTGGTAACCTTCTATAGGGGAGTCCGTACAGTTGCCTAGACCCTTCTCCCATGGGAAGACCCAAGAAGTCTTCCTCCCAAAAGAAGACTCTTACCTGACCAGGCTTCCACCCCAATCTCAGACCTGCAGCCTTCAAAGCTAAGAGAAATAAATTTCTGTTGTTTATAAGCCACCCAGTCTGTGGTACTTTGTTACAGCAGCTCAAAGAGACTAGGATACTTTCCTTACCTTTTTTAAGTGTTGTTGTGTTTTTCAATTTATACTTGATCTTAGCCAAAAGGCTGAGAAGCGGTTTTTTAAAAAATTAATCAAATTATTTATTTATTTTAAAGATTCTATTTATTTATTTGACAGAAGGAGAGAGATCACAAGTAGTCAGAGAGGCAGGCAGGGATTGGGCGGGGGGAGCAGGCTCCCTGCTGAGCAGGGAGCCTGATGAGGGGACCGATCCCAGGACTGTGAGATCATGACCTGAGCCGAAGGCAGATGCTTAACCCACTGAACCACCCAGGTGCCCCTTTTTCTTAATTTATAAAGACAACTCACAACAAAAAAAGTTCAAACAGTATATAAGGGTGTAAAATAAATAGTAAAAATTGACTTGCTCTTTGTAACCACTAGTCCCATCCCCCAGAGGTAACCACTGTTAGGAATTTCTTAGGAATCTGCTTTGGAAATTTTTACGCATATGAAGCATACACGAATACCCTTTTTAAAATAACGCAATTGGGATTAAAGCATATCCATGATGTGTGATCTGGCACTTAAAAAAATCTTGATATCATTGAAATTTTCCATACCAGCAGAGAGTATTGCTACTGATAAACCGGAGCCAAGAATAGTAAAAGGTAGCTCTATCACATGGGATCACTGCTTTATCAAAGGGTCCCCTGTGTGGGTCATAGTTTGCTTCAGTACTCGGCATCAGATGCCTAGCCCCCACCCCCACCCCCACCCCCCCGCCAGCTCTGGGTAGCCACCTGCACACTTGATACTCATGTACACAACAGGAAGGATCTAAAACCTACCTTGTATCACAGGTTGTTGTGAAGATGAAGAACAATGAGGACAATGACACCCCAGCCACACCCTAGGTGTGCCAGGCATTCTCTTTAATGTCATCTATGTATTAGTTTGACTAAACCTTGCTCTTGACAGCCCTGTGAAGTAGGTGTTACTATTAGTGCACAGACTGAAAGAGCCATCTCGGCGTGTGTACCTAGCACACAAGCCCACCCCAAATGCTTGACACTGTATCAATAAAGTGAACGTCGTGTCAGCAAACCTGATCGGCGCCACAATAATACTTCTCAAATGGGCACTATAAAGTGGATCCCATGTTCCCCTTAAGAATAATGTTGTAATTAAGGGTTCCAAAACTTCCCCTTGCCTTACTATACATTCTAGACATAAGAAAATCTTGTAAAAACAGAGCCATAACAAAGCTCATCATCATTCAAAATAACAAAATAAGGTTCCATGGCTGAGAGATTCTGAGAGACTGGCTCCTACAACCTCTCCTTTTTTACTGATCAAGGAAATCAAACCCAGAAAATATCCAGGTCTTCTTTAAGGGTATATACCCTATTACAATGGTCTCAGCCATGAAATAATTTTTAAATATACATACATTTCAACCCCATATGATTGCTTAAGGGACTCCAACATATTCTATATGTATATACAAAATATACTGTATCACAAATCTGATGTAATATTAATAAACAAGTTAGAGTAAGCATTAAACATTTAATTAGAAGTAGCTTTTCCTGCCTTAGAATTTAAAAGGTCATTTGAGGAATGGTTTGACTGACTCATTTCTCTTATAAAAAAACTCTCTAGGCATAATGTGAATCAATATCACCTTATTCTCTCAATTTATTTTTCTATAAAAACCACAGGCCTTCAAAATTAGCCCACTGGGTACTTTCCCCCATTAACATGGTAGCAGAAGCCTCTCTAGAGTTTGAGACATCACTCCAGACCTTAGCTTTGGTTCAGGATGCTCAAGCTTTGACCTGATCCTCTTCCCGATCTCTATTTCTTTTTCTTTCCTCCCCACCCACCTGATAGAAGAGAGGAGGAAGAGAGACTCACATTCCTTTAGTGTGGTTACAGCTGAGTGGACACTATGCATTTTACTCTAAGGATTAAAAAAAAAAAAAAAAAAAAAAAAAGACAGGGACCTAACTCTTCCCTTCCTTCAACTCTGACTCTCATTCATCTCATCACCATCTCACCCGACCTTTGGCTCAGGTCATGATCCTGGTGTCCTGGGATGGAGCCTCACGTCAGTCAGTCGAGCTCCCTACTCAGCAGGTAGCCTGCTTCTCCTCTCCCTCTGCCTGCCATTCCCCCTGCTTATTCTTTCTCTGTGTGTCAAATAAATACGTAAAACTTAAAAAAAAAAAAGAAAGAAAAAGACACAATAACTGCTTGCTTCGACTGCTCCACAATCAGGATTTGGGAAGAAACACAGTGCTCAGCTGCATCCAAGACGGGGCTTGTTGTGATCAAGTCATAGGTCAGGGTTCCAGCTTCCCAGTCTCTCGAGTGAGGAAAAGATCATCTACCTCATCAGGCTGTGACTCAAGTTTAACCGTCAAACATTTCGTGAATGGCACAGCACCACACAAGTATCAGGTAATGACCATCACTGCTTCTGGTTCTCTAAATATGTTGGAGGGATGGGGTGCCTGCGTGGCTTAGTGGGTTAAAGCCTCTGCCTTAGGCTCAGTGATTCTGGGGTCCTGGGATCAAGCCCCGCACTGGGCTCTCTGCTCAGCAGGGAGTCTGCTTCCCTTCCTCTCTCTCTCTGCCTGCCTCTCTGCCTGCTTGTGATCTCTGTCTATCAAATAAATAAATAAAATCTTTAATCATAAATAAATAAATAAATAAATAAATAAATCAGTTGGAGGGAGATCATGATAGTTGCTTTGAAAGTGGAACCAAGTTGTTTCTGTTGTTCGTGATCTCCCAGACCATGGCCTGTGGTTCCCAAGGTAGGTCCATCAGGATACTAACTAGAAGGTGAGCACAATTCTAGTAGAAAACAGACCTGCTTATTTTCATGTGAACCCAGACCTTTTCCTCCACTCTCCTTGCTTTATCAGACTTTCTGAACTCTTTCCTTTTAGCATAATTATAAAACTATTTTTAAACCTTCTATGATAAAAAATTTCAAATGTATATCAAGGTGGAGACAAGAGTGTAACAAACCTCCCACGCATACCCCAGCAGCTTCATGATTACCAATTCACTCAAATCTTGTTTCACCTATTTCCCTACCCACTCTGGATTATTTTGAAGCAAATTCCCAGCATCACATCATTTCATCCATAAACATCTTTGCATGTATTTCTAAAAGATAAGGATTCTGTATGCAAACACAACCAAAATATTATTACATCTAAAAGGAAACTATAATTACTTAATATCTAATATCCTATCGGTATTTAAATTTCTCCAAATCTATTAAAAGATTTTTTTTTGGTACTTTCCCCAAATGAATTAGGCAATTAATTGATACATGATGTCTTTTCAAATCTAAAACTTCTTTTCCATCTTCATTTTTTCCTTGCAATTTACTTGTTAAAGCAGCTGGTTCTTTTGTCATAGAGATTGTCCTG